TGCTAAGTGTCCAGTTGTCTGTTCAACCAATCAAAGTGTAATATGCTAATGATATGCTAAGGCCACTCAACCACTCACTATACCATGCACTGACTACCAGGGGGCAGATAGTTGAATGGTCGACCTGTCGCTATGATGTGCAGTGACCATCAGGTGGCAGGCAGTCGACCGGTCGACCAGTCGCTATGAAATGCACTGACCACTAGGGGGCAGACGCTCCGACCAGTAGGTTAGCTTGCTGCTGGGGTCCGGCTGACCGGGATTGAGCGTGATGGGCCGGACATGCCCTGGAGCCCTCCCACAGTCCTTCCCCAGCTGGCCAACTTCCCACATCCCTCCCTGGCCCCAATTATGCACTGGTGGAGTTCCTCAGCCTGGCCTGCGCCCTCTCACAATCCAGGACCCCTTGGGAGATGTCGGAGAGCTAGTTTCGGCCCAATCCCACAGGTCAGGGCAAGGGACCCCACTGATTTACGAATTCGTGCACTGGGCCTCTAGTATCATATAAGATAATATGTCAAATAAGAATCTTAAGTATGCATCTTTCCAATAACAGAACTAATTATATAATAGCAAGCATTAACTTTATTTCTGTAAAAGAACATAGCTGAACTCTTACCATTCACAACAGTGTGGATGGACATGGATAGCATTATGCTAAGTGAAATAAGCCAGTTGGAAAAAGATAAATATCACATGTAGGGGCATGTGAGGGGGTCGGGTGGTGGCTGGGGAGAGATCAATGGGAGAAAAAGGAGACATAAGTAATACTATATGTAATACTTTAAATAATAAAGAATTTTTAAAAAAAGAAACATGAAATATAGAGAGCAAGTAAGGTGTAAAACGTTTCAACAGGTGGAGTGAGAGAACATTCCAGAAGGGAGCTTAGGCCAGGAACTACATCTGCCTTCTACGGAAGGAACTGCTAAGAGTTAATTAAAAATTAGTGTTGTTTCCACATCTGCCATCACTAAAGCTCCTCTTCCAATGATCGACAGTGCTCTGAAGCCTTCACACAGTACTAAGAGGACTTATGAACTCAAAATTTATGAAACTGTGAGCATTCAGAAAATAATCAAGTACATTATTAAGAAGTGGAAAATAAGTCATAAAAAATTAAAGATTCAATTTAAACAACAAAAAAGGCATAGTTATTTAATTTTAACATGTATTGATTTGAATTATATATTTTCTCTGGTATATTAAAAGGCACAAATATTTAATTTCATGTAATCATTTTCTTCAAGCTTCTACTACCTAACTTTTAACCAGTATATCCCATATCAATTATTTCCTAACCTCAAGCAGTGACATCTACAAACAGAAAAAACAACTTCCATTTATCCCTATAAATTATAAAGGGTGTAAATTTAATATGAAGTTCTTCAATACTATAAAGCCATTTAAATATATCAGCAATTTAAAATGTGCACAGCTATGTAGACAAAGCTAATTACTGAAAGAAAGGACTAAGATGGCCATATTAAGGAGAAAAAAAAGAACTAATTTTTTAATTACTTTTGAGAGGAACGTGTAATTATACAGGCCAAAGATGTTCATTTCTGAAATGTTTAAATGTTTTGTTTTTTATTTATTTTAGAAAGAAAGGAAAAAAGGGACAAATATCAATCCTGACTAGGGATGAAACCCGCAACTTGAGTACGTGCTCTGACTGGGAATCAAACTGGCAACCTTTTGGTGCATGGGACAATGCTCAACCAACTGAGCCACACCAATCAGGGTTAATATTTCTGTTTATTTAAAATCACATTCCCTAGCATATTCCAATCACAACTTTACTGATTTCTAAAAATGAAATACAATTTTCTTCTTTGATCTAAAAGATGTCAAACTTCCCATATGTTATTTTGCCAAAGTTCCAGAGCAAAAGAGTTTTAAAATGTTGCTTATATCAAAAGTCTGTTTGGATAGTTCTAAAGAGAAATCCATAACTGAAGTGCTTTGAATGCTTTCTGGGAAAACAGAAAAAAGACCAGGTATTTTAATGTTCCCACAAAGCGATTCTTTCATTTCCATATGCAAGAGAGAGCCTGGGATTTAAAAAGTTCGTAACAACAAAGCCTCACTAGGTCCCATTTAGCAGTTTTATTGTCTGTTACCAGATGTTAGCATTATGTAAGATCATTTCCTCCTATTAGGAAGAGTTCCTAAGATTCGGTAAAAGCTGGTAAAACTGAAATCTAACCTACTTTTTTCAAAAGATTTCCATGGATTTAAATTTAACTGAAATATGCTAGCAAACACTTTGCTTTTTAAGTGTTAAAATAAAAATCTGTAAAACAGGCATACATTTCTCAAATTTACTTCTCTAACAGTGAATTCCTTTATAATAAACCCACACAAAAAATTATTCATTTAGAGTATATTTATAAAATGTAAGTAAACTGATTATTCTAATGTATAAGTTTAATAAAACACAAATGTAAATTTTAAAACATGTTATTTATAAGAAAAAGATTTCTTGTATTTATAAAACTGCCATGTGTAGTTTTCTATTATCCTTCATTCTTTGAAGGATAATAGAAAACTACATTCTCAAGATGGAAGTTTAATAAATTAATTAAAATAGAAGCCATTCAAAACTTTTTAAAAAGAGAAATCTAATTTCTGGGTTCTTTCAAACTGCCAATTGTCATAAAATACAATGAGAAATACATTTCAAATACATTCACAAGTCAAGTACATAACATCCCATTTACAGACTTTTATGTTATTCCCGCAATTCAAATACAGGCACTATACTTTTCCTACAATTATTTGGAAAAATCAATAAAAAGTTCACAGAAAGCTAATTTCAAATAAAAGGGTAAGAAAACATACATTCTTATGAAAATTATATGCATAAGCAGGACACAATGAACACATTTCATCACATGATTTATAGTAATAAATTACTTCTTATATTAATATTTAAGACTACTAACTTCATTTTTCTTAAAGGTTTAAAAGTATATATAAAAATCAGGCTGTATTCACTATGCTCAATTTTCCATGGAACTATAATTTCCATTAAATTACATGAGAATAAATATTACAGATAAATGAAATTTAAAAACGAACATCATAGCCTAAAGATTTTCTACTGTATACCTTGTAAGAACAGAGTAAGTGGATATGATAAAAACACTATAATAATGGACTGTGGTTTCATCAAAATAATAATCATATTAACTAGACATTACCCTAACTTCAAGGTTCATTATTAGTACACAGGAAATAAAATTACTCTGCCCATAACAACAGAGCAACATGAAACAATAAATCACTATGGGTGTTTCTTCTATTTTACCATTAAGTGAAACTCAAAACAAAATTACTCAAAAGAGGTATCGCCTATGTTCAAACAATGGGTAATTCAAGAATACCTGAACTAAACAAGATTAAAAAATACTTTTGATAGCCTTAAATTCTAAAAATAAACACAGGATAGTAATGATCAATGCTCTCCAAGTACATGCCATCAATCATTCACAATTACTCTGTAGAAGTCTTTATAATGTATATTGTTAAAATTAATCATATAAAATATAAATAAGTGGTTCATTCTTGAAAACTAACATTGTAAACTATGGTGTTTAATAAGAACATTAAATATGGAAATGCAAATTATAAACATACAGCACTAGAATTTTATAAATAAAGTTAATATCCTAGCAAAGAAAGAACTAGCATCCATTCCCCCAGACATCACAGTTAATGTTCCAGAAAAAGGAAGGAAAGGAAGAATAAATAAGACTAACCTGACCACCACTGCTACAGACAAGTTATGACTGAAAGCTGTAGTTTTAATCCTTTTTTCTATTTCTTTCTCTTATCATAAATGAGTATGTTTATGACCTTATGTAATATCTGGTTTATGTGCACAAACCACTATTGGAAACATTGCCTATTATAAAAAGGCTTTGTCTTGTGCGTTTATACCAAAATAGAACTCGTTTAAAAAGTCAATTATAAACTCAATAAAGAAAATAAGCAATAAAAGTTATCCTAGTTCTATAATAGAATTAAATTCCTAGGAGACTTTAAGGGTGAAATTTAAAGTATTTGTTTTGGGCTCAGAAAATATAAATCTAGGGAAAATCAGAATAAATCTAATTAAATTAAATATACTCAAAATTTTTCTATATTTTGGTTACATATATGTAGCAAAGGAGAAGCAGGAAGTGCAAAATTTTTGCAATATATCCATATCCACGTTCTTGCTGTCTTTTTGCCCACAACAGTATATGACAGAAAATGGTGAGGATGACAATGGCTTTGTGACAAATAGGAATGGACTTAACGCAGACGTAGTAGGCCAATCTAGCTTTTGAGAAGGTAATGGTTTTTATGAATGGTTTTACTGAATTGCAAAAATGTACTTGGACTGCCCTAGCTGGTTTGGCTCAGTGGATACAGCATTGGTCTGTGGGCTGAAGGGCCCCAGGTTTGATTCCAGTCAAGGGCACATGCCCAGGTTGTGGGCTTGATCCCCCATGTGGGGTGTGCAGGAGGCAGCTGATCAACGATTCTCTCTCACATTGATGTTTCTATCCCTTTCTCCCTCTCCCTTCTTCTTTGAAATAAAAAAATATATATTTTAAAAAAATGAAATAAAAATGTATTTGGACAGACTTCGAAACTTTAAAAAACTGTGTTCATAAACATTCTTATTCAGATAGTACTTTAATAAAATCTAATTAAAAAGATACAGATATATTTAAACTCCCGATTTCTTAGAAACTAACTTACTTTCCTCTAAAAATATAATTTGTGATAGCAGAGGAAAAGAACTATCATTTCCTATAATTTCTTAGTTAAGACTAGTATGGCCCATATTTCCACCAGTTCTACTAAATGTGCAGAGCTGTCATACAGGCCCATGTTAGTGTCTTTAGCCTAGAACGGACAATGCTAACACTAAAAGGGAAATCAGTCTGAAAATCATAATCTTTAACAAAAGTTTATAAGTGTATCACTGATATTTCAACACTTACGGCTATCATAACATATGTTTCCTAGAGCCCTGCCCGTTTGAAGCAGCACTTCCTGGTCTTTGCTATTTAGTAGCTGCACCAGTGGTGAAATCAATCCAGCATCCACACATGGAATTCGCATAAACTCTGAAAATAAGAGACATATTTAATTAAAAATTTAAAAATTCACAAGTTACACAAATCATGTTCCTTAATAAAATACTTATTAAAATGTTTAAGGTGGCTTAATATTTGAAGAGTACATTTCTGTTCAAAATTACCATTGCTACTCTACTACATACTTCATGAAAAAAGTACACAAAAAATTAGTGGAGTCGTATTTTCCTTTGCTGACAGTCTGCCATAAACCAAAAGGGTTTTTAATTAACTTACTTTATACCTAATTTATCACCATCTTCTTATAATAATTGCTTATGTGCTTATGAAGCAGCATATGATGGTGGAGAAACTGGTAATGGTCTTTTCATGAGCCTGATAATTAAAGTACAGCAGGTCCTCAAACAACTTGTTCCGTTCAATGCTGTTTTGTTATAATGCTGATGAGATACGGTAGAAATCTAACTCTTGTTTATATCAGATTAGCCTATGGTAAAATCGGTTTTGTCATCCATTGTTTCACCACAGTTCCATGAACCTATTGATGACACCAAGTGAGGACTACTGTACTACAGTTATAAACTAAGCCATCAAATTGCATAATTTTCACTGTATGTTCTCTAAAAATTTAAAATACAGCATTTTTTAAAAGGTTCAAGTGAATCATCCTATATAATAAAAGGATAATATGCAAGTCAACCGAATTGCGCAATGATCAGTCACTATGACGCACACTGACCACCAAGGGGCAGATGCTCAATGAGGAGCTGCCCCCTGGTGGTCAGTGTGCTCCAACATG